CATGTATTTATTAGCGTGAATGGCGAGGGGTGAAGGTGAAATATAACGTCATCATCGCCCCTCGAACGTTGAGAGCGTATGAGTGTGTGTTCGGGGTCAATGGCGGAATATTTATAAAAGTACTCCATCAACCCCAATCTAGATTAGTTTGAGTATAGGTCGGTGGAGGAATATCAAGTACTCCACCGACCAAACGGAATAAGTGTACTGTATGGATGTATTTATGTGTATGAATGTAGTGTTTGAAAGTGTAAATAGAATATAGATTTAGTTGGGGGCTGAAATGACCAAGATGTCGGAAGCCCCAATAATAATAATAATAATAATTCTTAGAGTATTTACTATTTTAATATTTACTTGTGTTATAATTCCCGCTTTTCGCACGTTCAAAATTGAGCGGCATTAAAAACCATCTTCTCATTGGATCGGCGCGTTGGCGGGGGTATCGGCGGGTTCACTTTTGCAATTCATGTCGAGAGACGTGGTTATAGAACTCCTTCAACCTGATGATGAGCTAAAAGGTCGAAATCCTGATCGTTGCAAAACAACTTACTGTGAGTTAGGAACTATCTTTGTAAAAAAGATTGAACACCACACTCACTCCATCATTCATCATTTCTAAAAAAAAGTTAATCCTTAATTTTTAATAATGGATTTTCTTAACAATAGTAAACATGAAGATTACTTTGTAAAGAAACACCTTTTCTTTTCTCCATTTCAATCCAGTTGTATTATCTTTAACCATGGAAAGACATCATCTTGAGCTAGAAGTTGGCAATGTCATTGTGAGGATGAGTCATGGAGGTCACCGGAAAGTGGATATCGCAGTTGACGTGTCTCAGGGCGTGGTTCCCCGGGCTTTAGACCGATTCCGAGAGACTGGAAGTGTCAATAGGAGGACTGGTAGTGAATCTCAGCGCATTACAACGCTAAGGGAGGACAGAAATATTCTCATTGCTGCAAGACGGAACCCTTTCCATAGTGCGCCAGCCAGTTCCTAAATGAAGTACAAGATGTTTGGGCAAACCCTATTTCTTTCATTAATTCTGTCTTGGGTTGTACAAAATTATCCCATGAGAAAAGTCAAACACATCATCGTCAACACTGGTTGGTTGTGTATTTTGATCAACAAGCTAGAACCTATTTAATTCACTCCCTCTTTTATAGAACTATCAGTCTTTAGTGCAAAAAACGACACAACCAAGCTGAAGGTCGTCTGCTGGGTGATGAACCTGAAGTCTGATTATTTTGGGACTTCCTGTTATGCCAATCCGCACTGTTTTGGTCCTTCGGACACGTTTCGGCTCACCAAAATGTTCGGTAACGACGAAATTACAAAGTGAAAACAGACAAAAACGTCGGAAACGACCACATTGCATTTTATCACGAGAAAAAGTTGCTAGTTCCCCCTATTTTACCTCGAATGTAGATTTATTCAAACGATTTAATTATGAAATAACATTTACGAAAACAAAACATTGTCTGTTTTTATGTTTTTGCACACGGCATAGTGGCAGGTGCGTAGGCAGTGCAGGAATAAAATAAAATCGAAACCGGATTGTTGCAGCTGTCGGTCGGTGTTCGTTTAAGGGATGAGCATTTAATTGCTGTGATAAAGGTCGGGGTAGGACATTAATTAGAGATAAACACATTAGATTCGATCTGTCGAGAGCGTATGGTCGATGGTCATGGGAGAATGGGTAAAACCGTTATCGCCCCACGACACGACTAATCCTCCGAGTGACAATCGGCATTGGAGAGGAGTGAGCGCCGCTTGATAATATTGTGATTCTTCCACTCCCCTCACTCTCTTAACGCTCTTCACACTCGAATTCACTTTGTTTCGATTACATAGCTAAACACTTCAATCCTCCTTTAATGCATTCAACCGGCTTTTCTAAATACTTTCCCGTGATAACTGGTGGATATCATGAGCAGCCATCATACACAGATTCGTTCATCCGCTCAACTACGCCTATTTAGTATAAATCATGCTGGATATATAATAGTGTCTTACCAAGCANTGAAGATGATCTCAATAAAGATCGAAACGTTGGCACGATAAAGAAAATGTTTTTCTGAAACCTACATCACACCAGACCGCATCTCACGATTTCTGAATAATTAATAATAGTAATACATTTAGAGCAAAAGATAATAAAGTGGTCGACTTTTCAAAGTTCGGTATTGATCTTTTGAATAGAGAGGAAATAGAAAAATTGAAGGGCTTGATTAAGGAATATGTAGACATTTTCTATATAGAATGAAGTGATCTGTCCTTTAAAAATCAGATTAATCATTCATTAAGAACCAAGGATGAAATTCCAATCTATTCTAAAAATTATCGTTATCCCAAAATTCATAAAAAAGAAGTTGAGACTCAAGTAGAAGAAATGTAGAAGCAAAAGATTTTTTTTTTGTGTGGCTTTGCTTATATGCATACGGCCAGTGTCCCGTGTTGCCAGCGACACCACCCGCCCGACCCGCGCGAGCCGACCAAAGAAACCCCCGGGAAGAGACCACCCTGACTTATTTTTTTTACAATTGGGAACTCCGCCCTCTCTTACGGGTGCATTGGGAGGATATAGATAAAAACCACTTACACGCTTTACAGCGCTGTGGAAAAGTCCACATCCTCCCCGCAACCCGGGGCAAAAGGCGCCCTGAGCACTCCACTCCTCCCCCCGACGGCCCATATTGAGGACAGAAAAAGACAATGTGCCTCATGTTCTCTGGCTCATCACATGTGGAGCAATTTGGCGACGGCCTAAGACCAATTCGATGTAGGTAAGATCCACAAATGCCGTGATTTGTTCTTAAGCGCGTTGAGGCAGAAAAAAAATTTTTGGCTTCCGTACTCTGTCGAAAACCATGGAGCGATATTTATTTCCGGAAACAATGATCGATAAAATGACCCCGCCGAACCACTGTTGTACCAAATGCTCCAGGCTTGTACCCATTTATTAATTAGGGAACGTTTGGTGTCAGACTTTGGCAATTTGATGTCAATAAAATCCCCGTCCTTTGTTGCTCGTTTAGCTAACAAGTCCACGATTTCGTACCTCTTTATACCCCTACTCCAGCAAAAGACTACAGTTTTAGTTTGCGATTTGAAGTTAAACGCCTTGTCTATTACTTCCGTTATTAAATAATCGCATTTGGAGTTTGGGTGGAAGTTTTCTATTTGGGCGATGACACTTTTGCTGTCTGTTATAATGCAAAATTTGTTGTCATCTAGCGTCCTCAGATAATCAAGGGCTCTAATCAAGGCAAATAACTCAGCAGTGAAGATAGAGACCGTATCAGGCAACCGATAGCTTTTTGAAACCTTGAGAGAAGGGTCAAACAAAGCACACCCTACATTTCCTCCGAGCACCGACCCGTCAGTAAAGACCAGATGATGTCCAGGGAACAGCCGATTCACGTCTTCCAGAAACATTACATTCACTGCTGGAGAATGACACTCTGAATGGTCTTCAAAATAAAATGTATGTGGAATGTGTAGGGCTTTGCAGTAATCTAACTGAAGAGTAGGGGAGAGCTCGTGAGAATACATTGAACGTATCTCAGGAATGACCGTTAAAAAGGCTGAAACTATAGGAGGCATTTTTTTTTTCAACCAGAACTTTTCTGTTAGGACTACCTCAACCAAAGCTGTGATCTTAGGCAAAATAGGACTGTCGGAATAAAAAATATTTATGATTTTATTAATTGCTAATTTTTCGATTCTTAAGTGCAGAGGGGGTTCTGAAGATTCAGCGGAAAGTGATATGATTGGGGTACTTGGAAGAGCTCCGAGGATACGTCTGTAACACTTGTGACAGAACATTTGTATTTGGTTTAATGTGGAATTGGAACCTTGGCAGTAAAATAATGAGCCGAAGTCGACAACGGATCTAATGGTTGATTTATAAAATAGTGGGCCAGTTTGTGGATCTGCCCCCCATCTGGCGCCGGTAAGTCTACAAAGAACATTATAGTTTTTCGCATTTGGCTAAGACAAGATTAATGTGTGTCGTCCACGAAAGTTTGCGGTCAATGTTTAAACCTAAAAACCTAACTTGTCTTTTGACAGGGAACTTGTGAATGCCCATTTTAATTTCATTCGGTAAGTCTATTTTTCTTTTACGGGTAAACGGGCATATAACCGATTTAGAGTCCGATATCGTCAGACCGTTCCCTTCGAGCCATTTGTCTAAATTCGGAATAAACTCCACAAGCTTGTTCTTGCACATTGCTAAAGAATCTTCAATGACATAGAGACAAATGTCGTCCGCGTATTGTATGATTCGGATCCAGTCCGGCAAAATAGAAGGTAGATCAGAAACGTACAAAGAATATAGGACCGAAAATTCTATTAACGAATTTGTAAAAAATGATATACATAATAGAAACCTCTTAAATATATGCCTACTATCTAATTATTGCAAATTCAATAATAAATTTTACGAAATGAAAGGGTTACCAATGGGGTCTCCATTATCCCCACTTTGTGCTGAAATATTCATGGATAATTTTGAAAAAAATCTTTTCAAATCAAAGAACAAATTAATTAAATATNAAATTGAGCGTCATTAAAAAAATCAGCTGATAATTGGGACGTCGCGTTGGCGGAGGTATCAGCGGTTCACTTTGGCAATTCATGTCGAGAGACGTGGTTGTAGAAGTCCTTCAACCTGATGATGAGCTAAAAGGATCGAAATCCGGATCGTTGCAAAACAACTTACTGTGAGTAGGAACTATCTTTTTAAAAAAAGATTGAACACCGCACTCACTCCATCATTCATCATTTCTAAGAATATAGGATGGGACTAAGAATTCCACCCTGTGGAAGGCCATTATAGGAGGTTCTAGGATCTATCAAGGTGTCATTAATTTTGAAATAGAGCTTCCTATCAATGATTAAACTTGTGATGTTTCTGATGAACTTTTTTGGCAAACCCATTTTATGCAACTTAGAACCAAGGAGAAAAGTATTTACTGTTATAAGCTCCGCTCACATCCAAGAGGACTGCCAACACCGACTTATTGTTGGTAAGAGCCAATTGAACATCTGTGATCAACGATAATTGCGAATCGGTTACTGATTTGTTTTTCCGGAACCCGTACTGGGACATAGGGAATTTACCGTTTCCTTCAGCCCACCACTCTAGATGCGTTTTTAAAATGCGTTCGTTGGTTTTTTGAACACATGATACCAAAGATATCGGACAATATGAATCAGCGTGATGAGGCGGTATACCGGCTTTCTTGATCAGAATAATCAAAAGATAATTAGACCATCACATTCGCCATAGAGCTCACTTTGGGTAGTCCCAAAAAAACCGATGCATCAGGTAAAACAGGGTGTGGCAATAGACTTTCCAAATTTAAATTAAAAAAAAAAAAAAAAAACAATATATGACAAATTCCCTCTCCACAATATTAATGATATATTAGATAAATTAAGCAGGTCCCAATATTTCACCACACTAGATTTAGCTTCCGGATTCCTTCAAATCGAGATGAGTCCGGAAAGCATTGAAATAACGGCCTTCTCTAAAGAAACTTGTCATTATGAATTTTTAAGGATACCGTTCGGCCTGAAAAATAGTCCGTCTACCTTTCAACGAGTTATGAACAATATTCTGAGGGGAATAAATAATGAAACATGTTTATGTTACTTAGATGACATCATAATATTCAGTACAAGTTTAGAAGAGCATATTTCAAGGTTAAAATTAGTTTATGAACGGTTGAGAAAATATAACTTCAAAATCCAACCTGATAAAACAGAATTCGTAAAGAGGTAGCATATTTAAGGCATTTGGTGACACCGAGTGAAGCCAAATCCGGATAAAATATACGCTATAAAAAATTACCCCTTACCCAGAATACAAAAAGAAATAAAAAGCTTCCTCGGACTGTTAGGATACTATAGAAAGTCCATCAAAAATTTTGCGCAGTTGACAGAACCTATGACAAGATGTTTAAAAAGGAAAACAAGGACATGTCTGACATTTAGATTCTCCCGAAAGAAAAATCTTAAACTGTCCTAACTCCTTAGATAATGATTCCACATTCATAAACATAGATGAAAATAATTTCAATGAAAACAGACTCATTATCGACGAAGATTCACAACAAACGAGATACTCAAATTCGGAAGGAAATACAGGAAAGTCCGATAAATAATTGTGTGAATCAAATTCAAATATCTCTTGTCAAATGTAACCCGAAGAAGACAATAATAAATCTATTCAACAGTAAAACAGGAATAATTGTTGAATTCTCCGAAGAAAATTTTGAAAACGAAGTAATATCTTTCATTAAAGAATACATTAATGCAAACATAAAACATGGAATATATATACTTTGAAAATGATATTTATAAAAAATTTACAAGAATAATGCAAATAAATTTTAAATAGTCTGATATAAAATTTACTTAATTTACGGAGAAACTAGTTGATGTTACGATAGAGGAAGAGACCATAAAACAATTAAGAACTATCACGAGGGCAAAACGAATCAGGAATCCAGGAAACCTTTGAGAAAATAAAAATAAAATATTTTTGGCTTAACCAGAAAAAATCTGTGCAGGAATTTATTAATCGTTGAGAGATATGCCAACTATCAAAATATGATAAGTATTATCACCCTCTTAAGATCCAGTATAATATCACACCAACATCTACATAACTTTTCTCCATTCATATTGATAAGCTAACTCTGGAAAATTCCAAATTCCTTACAATAATCGACACGTTCTCAAAATATGCACAAGTATACCCGTTAAACTCCTCTCATAGGTTAGAAATTGTTAACGCCTCAATGAATTACTTTGCTCATCATGGTCTTCCTCAGCAGGTTATCACGGATAACGGCCCTGAGTTTAATTCCAGTTTGAACAAGATCAAAATTCACTTTATTTCTTCACAGCATCCAGACTAATGGACCAGTAGAAAGATTTCACTCTTATAGAACATATTAGGTTATTAAATAATAAGGAAATTTACAAAAAGATTCAATCAGATCAAAAAAAAAAAAAAAATACGCACTCATTGCTTACAATAATAGTATCCACTTCCATCCATCTAACTCAATGTTAGAAATAGACATAGAGGCACAATTAATAAATGTTTATGTTATTAATCACAAAGAAAAACTGAACTTATTGTATTATAAAATTAGTGAACGTAGTAAAATAAATAAAGGAAATTTAATAGAAAATTTAAATAAAAATAGGGAACTTCTACGAGGAATCCCTGAAGACGTTTTTGTTAAAAATAAGCAGATACAAAGAAAAACAAAAAATAAGGCAATTGCTTAAAGGCTTAGAAAAAAATTATTTTTTTGCTTTTAGACTATATCAATAATGTTTAGATTTTATGTCATTACAACTGAGCAAAATAAGTATGAAATCAAAACAAAAGCTTGTCAAAAGTTTTATTTTATATCTCCATTTTTAATTTATTTTCGGAGGACAGGTTTATGCCATTTCGTGTAATTTAAAGACGTATAAAACTTCGTTTTGAATTGAATAAACATTTATTAAAAAAATATACTTATACATTATGCTACATACATTCATTAAGCAGGGGAAGTGGCGGGGCACTTTTACGTCCTATTTCAAAAATTTGCCTATCAACGCATCTAGTCCTAGTTTGTTGTTATTTTTAATTAATCAAACTAGAAAAATAGTGGGAAAAATTTTCGTAAAAAACCCACTAGGTATCAAATAAGATATCAATTAGCAAATTAATTAACAAAAACGTGTTAACAAGATTATAAATAAATAAATGAGAATAACAAGAACAATGCAGTACGGGTAATTGAATTATCACAAATTGTCTTATAGATCACAGCTCTAGAGGAAACAACAAATAAATATATCACAGTTCCTAAATTTATGTATTGTGCCTGATCCTTCTATGTTTCCATGGAAAGTTTACATCATACACTCCTACATCCTTACAAGTAGTGTTCTTGCTGGAGGAGAGACCCATAAAAAAATTCCTGGACAGACGCTTTAATTCAGAATTAATATACTCCACTCCCGCTCTCTCATGGAGGAGGCCAATTCTGGTGTATCGTGGTAGTGGCGTAATAAACCTTAGAAATTTATTTTGGACCACTTGCAGTTTTTGGATGTTGGATTCGCACGTGTAAATCCATGTTGGGCAAACATACAGCAGCATAGGTTTTTTATAACTAAAACTTCGTAAAGTCTCTTGTGAACAGGTGGAATCGTTTTAAAGTTATCATTATTTTCGTGTTTTTCTTTTAAAATAATCGAATCGATTTCGAAGGCTTAGTCGATGAAATTGTGTTGAACTGATAAACACAGACCACTTTTCTGGGTCCATTTATTCTCGCTGATTTTCACTACATTCCAGGGGGTAATTCCAGAATTCTTTACTGAATATGCCGTGAAACCTAAATGCTTATAATTACAACTTAAAAGCGAGACTAGACGGACCGAGAAGAGTGGTCGATCGATTCAACATGATTTCAGGACTCGCAGGCACACCAACACCACCAACTTAAAAACTGTAATTTGGTCAGTTTTGATCAATTTGGCTTATCACGGTGGTTAATAAATTGGAATACTCTTTGTATATATCTCAACCAAGACATTACATAAAAAGAATAATCAATTGAAAGAAGTAATTTTGTCAATTAGGGCACTAAATATAAATGGATTATGTTTTTGTGATGAAAATTGTCATTCTAATTAGAAAATGCATTCAGTAAGTAGGCCATAAAAAATATTTTGTTGAAAAAAAGCATTCAGATTGGATTTTAGCACCCTTTAAAACCCCTTAAGTTCTAATTTTTAGAGTAAACTAAAATATATATTTTTGCGTTGGATCAGACCGGGGGATTTTTTTTCTACGAAGTCCAGTCTTCCGGGATTAAAAATTCATAACTACTCTGGCTTCTATTAGAATTTCACAACTTATTGGGCGGCATTCTTACTCGCTCCCTATATAGAGCCAAGGAATGACACCTTTCAATTATGCAGGACACATTGAGCAACCTTTCCCTTCATGCCGGACATATACGGGGGCTTTGACTTAAAAGTAAGTTTCCGTGTGTCAACCGCGTACTTGTGAGTTATTGCATCTGTAATTATTAAATATATCCTCTTTTTGAAAGGAGAAATTTTTTAAAAAATAAATCATGAAAAAATATACGAATGATGTGTCATAGCAAATAATATAATTGATTTATTTGCCACTACGTTCTAAGCAATATTAATATTTTCTGTTTCGTTATTGAATCTACGTATTAATTGTTACATTTTGTAAAAGTTAAAGTAAAAAGTTGTTTTATGTGTCACTCAGATTATCGCCGTTACGCCTTGTCTTAAAGACGTACTATGATTTTTGATTTTTTTTTATCGATGCATCTGGAAACACATCACTCGGTCTTCAAACAACCCTGAAAAAAAATCTCCCAGGAAAGAAAATGTTCATTAATACACATGTACCGATTAATGACTGCACGCCATCCTCTCCATTGATTTACATAATAATTGTCACAGGGCTAATTTTTTATATCGTGACCCGATAAATAAATGAGATTTGAGACAAGCGTTCAGTCAAAAGTCACGAAAGAATAATCTATTTTTGCTGGTTTGCGTTCCCCCATTTTCAGATTTTGTTGGATCAATCTTGGAACAAGACAAAATAAATTGCGTCGATTTATAAAATCATGTTAAAGTCAAAATGAAAAAAAGTTTTTGTTTTTCCTACACAAGTTTGTTACAGATTACAAAGCTTGCTTAAAAATAAAAAACAAATCCAAGTTTCGCCTGCAATACTAGACATTTGAAACCTACATCGCATTGAACCGTCAAAACGGAATTTTGATCAAAAATCGACACAATTTGTACAAAATGTCAAAAATTGTTCGAAATATTTCGGTACTTACAGGGGTTGGTGTTGATCGAAGAATGGTGGTTTTATTTGTCAAGGTTTGAGCAGGGGCCATTGTGAGCCGAGTGCGCCTGCCGTCCTTCGTAGCCAATCGGTGAAAGAGCCACCCCCCTTTCGGCTCGGGCCCAATCCCCTTTCGCCTAACTCACCCCCTGACGAATTACAAAAATCCTGGAAATGCTTTATACCTGTAT